GGGGGGGGGGGGGGGGGGGGGGGGGGGGAGTGGAAGGGGCTAGCTAGCTTAGCAGATCGAAATGCGGTCAGGAGCCCAATGCCCAAGGCTAATAATCAACGGGGTACAGTCTTCCCCTGAGCACAACACATCCTAACCGTGAATGTATACAAGCTGTACATCCGGTCAGGAGCAGTCATATTGAGCATGCATTGTGTTCAAGGAAGACAGTAGGAAATGATAATGGATTGTTGTGCCAGTAGAACGTCCCACATGTTCAAAAAAAAAAAAAAAAAAAAAAAAAAAAAAAAAAAAAAAAAAAAAAAAAAAAAAAAAAAAAAAAAAAAAAAAAAGCAGATCATAGATCTGTGGTCTATACAGAGCCATGCTTATGCTGTCCCACACTCTATTACGGAACAACTAGAGGGGCAATGCTTATGTCCCACATGCTTAAAAAAAAAAAAAAAAAAAAAGCTTATGTCCCACATGGGTATCATTTGGGATTGTAGCACCACACAGGGTACAGCACAGCTGGTACCATACAAATGATGACAATATATCTGCTTGAATTGGACCCGATTTGCAGACCAGGTGCAGCTCCCCACCAATAGATGGAGCCTTGGACGCGGGGGCCTACTTACCAGGATGCTCTTATCACCTTGCTAACTAGGTTTCCCATTCACACAAAAAAAAAAAAAAAAAAAAAAAAAAACGAGCACAGCTGTTACACGTTGGTAAGGCACGCAAGTGGCATTCACGAGGCCTTGGGTTCAATCCCCATTGGCCTCATGCACCTTCCTGGGCATGCTTGGCGCCCGCCACCTAGAGACAGCACGTTGGTCCCCCCAATTGGTATTAAAAAGCAGTCTCTGCTGATGTTCATAGGGGGAGGGGTAATCAGGGAGCGAGGCACAGCGACTGGCCACTCAGATGATGCTCGGTCCCTCTGCTACCGGCTGTCCCCTGGCCGGTGTCCCCCATTGGGGTTTCCTGAAGGCAATCAAGGCCACCCTTGTCAGATTAGACACAATATTGAATTTACCTGGGCTGGTTAGTCCGATGATAATACCTCAAGGTCATCGCCCTTCAATAAATAAATTTAAAAAAAAAGAAGAAAAAAAAAAGACATGATCATGAAGAGGGGTTCGAGTCTGGTTGCTCGGCACATTGGTAGGGGTTTTTTTTCCCCTTTTTTGAAAAAGCCCAGGTTGATGTAGAGGTGGGGGATACTCACACAGCTGTACTGGCACGTGCACACATAGCCCTAGAGACCCATGCACAGACACAGCACAGGTACAGCCTCCGGGCATGTACACATACATGGCCTACGGGCATACTCATATAGCCTATGGCCAGCGGATGGAAAGGAAGTGGAAAAAGAAGAAAAAAAGAAAAAGATAAAAGGAAAATAAAAGAAAGGAAGTGCAGGAGCTGCTGGCAGC